GTGCCTCGCGGGGCTCGAATCGCCTGGGCGCACGCAAGCGCGGCCCGCCCACGCACGCGTATTTAGGAGATCGGACGGGATTGGACGTCTCGCACTCGCGTGACTCAAACTAAAGGTTGATTGATGACTGGTGATACGAATGCCGATTATGGATGACCCTTTGTGCGCAAAGCGATACATCCTGATGAACTGAGGAGCAGCACTACAATGGGGAAGTGACACAGACACGTTCGTGTGTCAGAGTCATGAAGGAAGACCTTCAGATCAAGAGAAAACCACAATGAAACCAGACGTCCTGAGTCGACCCGACGGCGTCACCTGCTTGCTGGGTACAAAGTGTTGCAAAAGGTCGTCATTTTCCGAGGCGAACTTTTTGGTGCCGCTGAACGACAAGACAAAGTCTGAAAGCACTCATTCCCAACCAAGGTACATCGGATCTCGTCGAAATGCACAAGCTTGCACAGCCATCGCGTTCGCTCATAGTGTCACATTTCGACGTCTCGCACGTGCGATCAAGTTTGACTGCCGCCTTGTGTGGGGGACTAGTGTTTTCGGCAGCCTATTGCGCGATGATACCTACTTTAGCCTGAAGCTGGTGGCTGATCAGGGTCTTGTGAGTACAGGGCCTGTGTCGAAAGCTCGCTGGCCAATCTAGAGATGTATGCCTCAAACGCGACCGGATCATCTGATGGAAGAGGACACAGCAAGGGATGCTGCGATGAAGTTTGTGGCGGAAGGGTGGGAAGGAGACCCATCATGTGCGTGCGTACTACTTCTGAAGTGATGTGCGGGGAAAAAGAGGGCGGCAGAGCTGCTTGTGGCTCCACAGGGCTTCGAGTGTCGAGCCCATGAGGCGGTGGTGCAGGCCATGCGAAAGGGTAGAGAGGTTGCCAGACAAGATGCGGCGGGTGTAGATGCTGGAGACCTAGCCCGTGCTCGCCCAGGGGCGGACCCGCTGGGGAAAAGAACGGTGGAGCGCTCAACACGCCTTGAGCAATGCCCAGGCCCATGTGAGTGATGCTCGGGTTCTCGGTACTGCGCGCTGGCATTGGTGGAAAGTCGCGAGTAGGCCCCCCGGCTCTCGGAGTCAAAGGTTCATTTCTGGGAGAATGCGTGACTGTTCCACGGATATGGGCATCTTGCGACGACGTGGCTGGCGACTGGCTATCTAGCGTCTCTAGCTTTCGGACAAGACGATCTATCTTAGCCCTGATTTCGTCGGGAAACTCGCGTGCAGCTGCTCTTCCCCGTTGCACCAGGCTGAGCTTTTGGTCCGGCAAGAGAGGAAGACATACTACAACTTGTGCGAGTAACCTTGCGAAAGACGTGTGCAAGCTCGCGTTTTCAGCCCGAGTGCCTGACACAGCGGAAATGATGTCTCGCAAACAGTTGTCGACTGTCAGAAATCGCATCAAGTTGCGTTAGCCTGGTCACGGAACTGTACGAATAAAGCTGTGACTCACCCAAGGAAACCAAGTACGGAGACGTACTTTGAGGGAGAAGCCTCAGGATTGAAGTAACGTAATCCACCACCTTGACAGGTCCCTTCAGCTGTGGTGACCCATTGGTCAGCAAGCTACGAAGTTGTAACATTTCCCATTCGGAAAAATGGACGGGCCCTTCGCCAGTCTGCGGTAGTAGTCCGCTTGCGTAGGTTGCGTAAGAGGGCAAGATCTCGTTGCGCAGCGCTTGAGGAGTTGACATGATGAGACTGACTGGCCTACCACGCAACCTGGTGTTGTTGCGTTTTCGAATGAGTTTCATAGCCGCTGCACGATCGCGACATTCGATGAAGCAGGAGCTTGAAGTCTTGCCTGTGGGAAGCTCGATAGGAACGTGCACGGGTTGAGGAACAACGTCGAAGTCGGCAAGAACGCCATCAATGTCGGCAATCCATTCGACGATTTCACTTTGGGCCACCGTCCACGGAATATTATCGATGCGAACAACGGCTCCAATAGCTGGTGCCTGCGTAATAGAAGTGCTGCGGAGTTGCTGCCAATTACGAGAGGTCGTCTCTGGAGAAGGAGGTGAATAAGGAGCTGCGTTGCTCGGCTCCTGGTTGCGAGATATGGTCCTGACTCTAGCTTCATCAGTCGACGAGTCTACCTTGACACTCCTGTGCTGTTCAGATCTAGCAATTTCGCTGCTGTCCGCAAGCGCAGAGGTGTCATTCAGTGCGGTCGGAGCGGTGCCAGTTGTGCCTGTGAAGAGTGGACGGGGAAAGATCAGGATTTCCATCAATTCGGATATAAAGCACCACCGCAAGGAGGACCCACCATGTGCTATGCCGGATGAGAGACTGATACCCTGTACGGGTACGAGGCAATTTGCGCAGGTATGAGGACGAGGCGGCGAAGCAGAGACCTGATTGATGCCGTTCGAGGTGCACGTCGCGCAAGCTTGATGACCGCAAGGCTTCAGGGTTGTGAGATATCTACAGTAGCAACCGCAGAGCTGACACTCCGTGAGGTCACTTGGCATCGGATCAGTCTCATCTACACGCTCTAGAGGCGAGGCGCGTCTGTAGATGCCGGCCCCAATCGCAGCTGCGATCGCTTCCTCTTCAGCAGGCGTCGTATGAATGGCGGTGTAGAAAGAGCCCGCTCGACCTTTGGCGATATTTGTATCAGCGCGTATGCCGGGAGAAATCTTGCCTGCAGAAGATGGGTGCGATGTGAGGACGGACTCGCAGGCGCTGCGACTTGTCGCCGAATCTTCTATAACCATTTGGTGAGACGATGTAGTCGTTCCATGAGACGTCGTCGAGCGCACTCTTGGGACTTGATGAGCTTGGCCGGCAGCAAGACGATGGGTGGCGTCTGTCGTCGGGAACGAAGTGGTAAGCGGATGATAATGCGCGTCTCCTCCTTTGAGAGGCACTGCTACGTTGACAACGTTAAATTCGGCTCCGCTGACGGTGTGCGACTTGGGACGCAT